TGGGCTCAAGCGAGTCTCCTGCCTCAGCCTCCCAAGTAGCTGGGACCACAGGTGCCCGCCACAATGCCCGGCTATTTTTTGGTTGCAGCCATTATTATTGTTTGGCGGGCCCAGACTGGATTCGAACCCGCCACCCTGGGTGTATGCGGCCGGCGCCCTAGCCACTTAAACCACAGGCACCGAGCCTACCTTAGGAAATATTAATATTTTCATGGAATTCTTTTGTTGTTGTTGTTGTTGTTGTTTTTGAGACAGAGTCTCATTTCATCACCATAGCTCACAGCAACCTCAAGCTCTTGGGTTCAATCAATTCTCTTGCCTCAGCCTCCCGAGCAGCTGGGAATATAGGCACCTGCCACAACACTTGGCTGTTTTTAGAGAGGGGTCTTGGCTCTGGCTTAGGTTGGTCTTGAATCTGTGAGCTCAGACAATCTACCCGCCTCAGCCTCCCAGAGTGCTAGGATTACAGGGGTGAGCCACAGTACCTGGCCATTTTCATGAATTCTGCAAAGAGTACTATGACATCCAAGGAGTTCACTATTTAAATAAATCTTAGATTGATTGTGTTGGGAAAAAAAGTCTCTTAAACAGTTTTATAGAGGTCTGTAGATATTTATGGGTTCACAAGTTCCAATTTCAAGAAATATTTCTTAAGAAAATGAAGACTTGTTCTGTGAAAACATCTTAATTTTAGACTAACACTGCAAGGATTATATTTATAATTGGTAAAATAATTCAATGTGAGTACAGTGTCAGATTGATGATTAAAGTAATTTTGACAATTTTGGTTTGTTTGTTTGTTTGAGACAGAGTCTTGCTGTGTCACATGGGCTAGTATGCCATGGCCTCAGCCTAGCTTATAGCAACCTCAAACTCCTGCGCTCAAGCCATCTTCCTACCTCAGCCATCTGAGTAGCTGGGACTATAGGGATACACCACCACACCCTGCTAATTTTTCTGTTTTTAGTACAGACATGGTCTTGCTCGTGCTTAAATTGGTCTTGAACTCCTGAGTTCAAGGGATCCTCCTGCTTCAGTCTCCCAGAGTGCTAGGATTATAGGCATGAACTACCATGCCTGGCCTAATTTTGATAATATTATTGTCTGACATTGTTGCCTGGGGCAGGTTGCTGATCTGTCATGAAGTGGGGAACTGAGGGTTCTCAGGTTTGGAAAAAACCTCTCTAAAGACTGCAATTATCTAATGAAAATGAGAAGTTCAGAGTGGGACATGTTACACATCTCTGAGAGTCAGGCCCAGTTATCCTATCTTATGCATGTTGGGTATCACTGGAAGCACCTGTACCTATCCTGGAGTAACAGGGGTGCCCGTAGAAGTGATCGCTGATAGCCCCTTAGTCATCCTTTCCTGACTTCAGGAAACAGGCTTCATCCGACTCCTTCGCCGAGAGATAGCACAAGTCTTCCAAGACAACCGAATGATAGCCGTCTGCCAGAATGTGGCCATCAGTGCAGAGGATAAGCTGCTTATGCGGCACCAACTTCGGAAACACAAGATCCTAATGAAGATCTTCCCCAACGAGGTAGGGAGCAGGCCCCTGGTTTGGGTTGCCTATCTTTCTTCCATCCCCACTAGACTCAACCTTCAGCATCTGCTCCCTGGATATGACCCCTTTGACTTCTCCTCTCCACAAGCCACCCTATAGTCTGGTGTTCAACATGCTGAGAATTAGGAGCTGAGAAGATCACTGGGTTGTACCCTCAGCCTGACATAGCCTGACCAAGTAGGCGACCCTTCCACTTGTCCCTAATAAGCCACTTTTTATGCGGTCTCAGGTTTTGAAGCCTTTTCTGAAGGAGTCCAAGTATCAAAACCTGCTGCCCCTTTTTGTGGGGCACAACCTGCTGCTGGTGAGTGAAGAGCCCAAGGTCAAGGAGATGGTCCGGATCTTAAGGATTATGCCTTTCCTGCCGCTGCTAGGTGAGCAGGCACCCGTGCCAGTTAAGGGGGGTGGGGCAGGTGCTACAGCAGCCTGGTGCCATCTGCTAGCTTTGTCTGGGTAAAACTGTGGACATTTGTAGAGGGAACATGCTCTTGAGAATGACCTGAGTCAACAGCACATTTATTGAGGGCGGCCTGTGTCACTCATACCCCTACATTGTCTCACTTACCCCAGGTCACTTCTATGCTGGAAGAAACACTAGGAAAGGCAGAGACTGGGCTTGGAGAGGAAATGGGGAGAGACAATTCAGGCACCTTGTGTCTTTCAGTGGGTGCTGAAACCCACACAGATGAAGATATTTAAAACAAGTAGCTCAAGTGAAAGGTGCTGAGAGACAATGACCAATGTTTCACAGATCCCTGGATATAAGGACTCACTGGAGGAACTTACATTTTTTTTTTTTTTTTTGAGACAGAGCCTCAAGCTGTTGTCTGGGTAGAATGTCATAGCATCACAGTTCACAGCAACCTCCAACTCCAGGCCTTAAGCGATTCTCTTGCCTCAGCTATTTTTTAGTTGTAGTTGTCATTGTTTGGCAGGCCCTTGCTGTGTTTGAACCTGCCAGCTCTGGTGTATGTGGCTGGCGCCTTAGCCGCTTGAGCTACAGGCTCTGAGCCTTATTTTATTTTTTATTTTGAGATAGAGTCTCACTTTGTCACCCTTGGTAGAGTGCTGTGGCATCACAGCTCACAGTAATCTCCAGCTCTTGGGCTTAGGCAATTCTCTTGCCTCAGCCTCCCGAGTAGCTGGGACTACGGGTGCCTGCCACAACGCCTGGCTTATTTTTTGTTGCAGTTTGGCAGGGGCCGGGTTTGAACCCACCACCCTTGGTATGTGGGGCCGACACCCTACTCACTGAGCCACGGGCGCCACCTGGAACTTACATTTTGTAGAGAATGCCGCACATATTCCCTGGAAATTCAGATTTCATAGGTCAGAATTGGGGAGGCAAGAGTGTGTGGTTTTAATACCCACCCCCATATACTCTGTGATTCCTTTTTTTTTTTTTCTGTGTTTTTGTCCACGTAACTTAAAATTTATCATCTTAACCATTCTTAGTGTACAGTTCAGTGTTATCAAATACATTCCCCATGCCGTACATCACCACCATCCATCTTCGTAACTCTTTTGATCTTGTAAAACCAAAACTCTATACCCATTAAACAATAGTTCCCCATTTCTTCCTTCCATTCTGTGATTCTTATCTTCAAGTAACTTTAGGAAACACTGACTTAATGGGGATTAGGGATGGGTGGGCATATCATGTAAGGGTTTTCTGAGAGAAGACTCAGGAAGGAGCCATTGCATCTCAGGCAGAGTGGGAGCGGGGTGGTATACTGTGGAAGCCAGGTTCTGAGGAAGGGGGAAGTGAAGGCGGATGGAGAACAAGTTCCTAGGGTCTCAATGTTGCTTTCAGAGAGGGTGGGCATTTTCAGGAAGCTCTGCTAACCCTGTGTTCTTCCAGGTGGCTGTATTGATGACACCATCCTCAGCAGGCAGGGCTTCATCAACTACTCCAAGCTGCCCAGCCTGGCCCTGGTACAAGGGGAGCTGGTAGGAGGCCTCACGCTCCTCACAGCCCAGACCCACTCCCTACTTCAGCACCAGCCCCTCCAGCTGACCACCTTGTTGGACCAGTACGTCAGACAGCAACGTGAGGGGGACTCTGTTGTTTCAGCCAGTGGGAAGCCACATTCTCCTGACCCTGTTGCAGCCTCGTAGCCAGCCTGTTCTACTCAGCCCTGCCAGTGAACACACTCTGCCATGTTGGCTCTCCTGTCGTCCGTGGGAGATGTTGAAGAACTTGGGTCGGGGAGTGGCATGTGTTACTTGGGCTTCCACTAACAACAACCTCCTCGGGTACAGGACCACCTGGAGATGCAAAATGGAGGCCGTCTCAGAATGACAGCTGTTAGTCATTGGCTTTGTCTTTATTTTTCCCAACTTGGAACCTGATAGGAACATAGTCTCTCTCAGCTGTCCAGGTCCAAAGCAGAGAAGCTGAAAAGATGACGCTCTTGCGCCCAATCTCCTTGTTCACTGTCCTTTGATGCACATACCTGCTCAGCCCACCCCCTCCATGCACAACCCACCCCAGTAGCTCAGCTGAATAGTCACACTGAGGATGGCACCTGGTAAGATCCAACTGTGGGTCCAGCTCTGTGCTGAGCGCTGTCCCTGTATTCTCTACTCTTCACCATGTTTACATATTTCACAGAGGAGAAAACAAAGGGGCAGAGAAGTTAAATAGCCTGCACAAGGTCATGCATTTAGTAAGGAGCAGATCAGGGACTTGAACCAGGCTGTTTGCCCTGAATGCCACATGCTGAATTCCTACACTAGAACTTCCTCATGGAGGTTACCCAGAGCGGGCCCAGGTGTCCTTGGATGGCATTTCTCTGCCTGTGCGTGTTGTGGAAAGGTTGGGCACACTGTCTGATAAGAAATGAAATGCATTCTCACACTTAACCACCTCTGACTACATTCTGACTCTGTCACTTCCCCTTCCTGGAAAATTTTCCCTCTTCCCTGTACCTGTTCCTGTAGATGGCATCTCTTTTGTGCTTCTCCTATTGAAGGCAGCTGAATACTGTGTCCTGTAGTTAACATGTCTCAGGTGGTTCTGAACAAAAGGGCTTGGCTTGAGGGGAAACTAGGATTCTCTGTTAAGAAGGGCTTCTGGGGGGGTGGCACTTGTGGCTCAAAGGAGTAGGGCACTGGCCCCATATGCCAGAGGTGGCAGGTTCAAACCCAGTCCTGGCCAAAAACTGAAAAAAAAAAAAAAAGGGCTTCTGGCGCCCTAGAGTAGGAAACCTCCAGAAGTTCCTAATAAAGGAGATAGGATGCTTAACTAGAAGCCTGCCATTGTCCTTGACTGGAGCACATTCTGGATAGATCCAGGGTGATACTGGGAGGTAACTGTTCATTCCTTCCTTGAATAGAACAGTGCCACAGCTCCCTTAGTCCTGGACAGGTGCTATCTGGCAGTGAGGATCTGCTGCGGCTTTTCTCTGGCCTGGGTCAGACCAGTTTCCCACCGCACCCAGCTCTGCTGTGTGCCTGGGGGTGTTTAATCACTATAAAGTGAATTAAAAGGCCCTTGAGGTTCCTGGATGCCAAAATTGGTCTGCCCAGGGCTGCTTAGTGGCTCTCCCAGAACCCTGCCAGCTGTAACAACACCCTTCTGCCAGGGTGGCAAAGCAGTGCTGACATTGTGAATGGAGCCAAGAAGGCAGGCATCCTCAAGGGATATAAGACCCTGATGCACAAGCCAAGCCCACGTGGGGATGAGGTGGAGGGAGCAAGTGGCCTGCATCATATCTGGTACCAGATAAGAACCTCCAAATCACATCCTTCACCTACCAGTGATGCCTGAGGCCCTGGCATTAAAGCCTGCTTCTGCCCAGAAAGAAAACTGCATTACACTTAAAGCTGTTGGTCTGTGCCACATTCACATGAATGAATTTTAGATCTTTCTCAAGAGTGGGTTTTTCATTAGAAAACTAAACACAATACTCCACCAGAAGGGAGATTCTCTGAAAATAAAAGGAGGGTACTAAAGTTAGCTCCAGCCAGCCCTTTTAACAGCCAGCTTTGCCTGCCTTAGACCTGCTTCTGATCCAGGCTCAGCAGGTGCTCAGGTTTAGTTTTACTGCGCTGGTGCTTCCAAACCCCACGGGGGCCAGTCCTGGTGGGAGATCTCCTGTTTGAAAGGCCTTGGCATGGGTGCATGCTGACGTCCTCTGGCCTTGACTGCCCCTGCTGACTGTGCTCTTGGCACTCTCCTGTGGTCCCAGAGGGGGATCCATCCTTTCCCTGTCAACCTGATACCTTTGCTGGCTCCAAATTTTGTAGTCTATTTTCAGATGTAAAATGAGAGGTAGGGGTTAATAAGGAAATGGCCTTGGGCACTAACAGGGTCAAGGCCACAGTAGTCTGAATAAATCCTTTACCACCATTGGCTTGAGTCCATCAGTTCCCAGTCCTTTCTTCTATCTGGAACCATGCCCAGTAAGGACTGTGCCCCAACTCACAAGCCACAAAGGTGCTGGGGGAGTCTGTTAAGCCCTGAGTCCTCCCGGGAGCAGGGGGGCAGAGCTGAGCGGCCTCCTGGAGCTTGGCGGGAGGAGGGGGCGGGGGAGGAGAAGGTGGGGAGATCCGGCTAGAGGGGAGGCTCCGACGTCTCCTTCCTTCCTGGTTCCCGCAGCAGCTGCTGCCACTGCTCAGCTCAGTGAGGAGGGAGCGAGTGACTCGGAGACAGTGACTCAGAGGCAGAGCGGCAAGAGGGCCAAGGAGCACAACCGTTCATGGACCCAGCGGTAAGAGGGCCGCGTGGCATCAGCTGACATTCTTCAAGACGAGCTTACTCCCACCTGAAGCTGGTGGGTCTGCTCCTCTGGAGATGAGGGCGGGAATGGAGGTGGAGGGGGACACACCTGGCTCATCTCAAGCCCCCACCTTCCTACTGATAGAGTCTCCCCTCCACCCACAAGCAGTGGGGGACCAGATCCCATGAGGCCAGGATGAGGGCACAAAGATACCCAGATACTAGAAGAGTTTGGGAACTTTCAGTGGCTGAATGCAGGAGTTCCTGCCCCCACCACCCAGGTTAGCCCCTTGCTACATGGGTCCCTCTGCTCAGACCTCCGGGCCACGCTTACTCTACCACGCTCTTGTCCCTTCCGGGCCGCAGTTCCTCAGGTGCTTGCAGGCTCCACACGGAAGATCTGAGCTGCTTCCCTAACCTCAGGCCAGCCTCGCCCCTCTCGTCCCCTCCCCCGTCTCACACACACAGTGCTTCATACATTATTGATCCCTCCATGGAGCCAGGATGGCCAGGGCTGGTGCCAAAGGCGCCTGTGAGCACTGCTGTGGGACCATTTCAGACCTCAGCACGTTCTTGGCCACCTTTTCTCCTGTGCATAGGGTCTCCTGGAACCACGCCCAGTGAGGACTGTGCCCTGATAGTGTCCTGCTCTCTGTGGGTGGGTGGCTCTTCTCAGAGGCCCCAAGGGCTGGGATGGTAGAAAGGAGATGATAGGCTTGGGGGAAGGGGACTGAGGGTCCCAGATGGGTCTCCTAGGGCCATGCTTGGTGGGAGGAAGCCCAGGGGAAAATGGGGGCTATTTTAGACCTCAGTTTCCCCATGCAGAAAATGGGAGCACAAGAACTAGAGGATATGGAGAATAATTGCAAGGTAGCAGGGGATTCTCTGCAGGGGGACCATAGCAAAGGAGTCTCTAGGCCTTGGTGGGGGTGAGGTGGAGGGATCCTGAAGGAAGAGGCAGCTGGATTGAGATCTTGCTTGCCCAGTCTCTAGAACTTGTCTTTTCTTGGAGCCTCTTTACCTCCCCAGCCTCACCTCTGAGCACCCTTAGGGACTCCTCCAAAGAAAGCACTGTTTTTTAGAGCCCTGGAGTTTGTGTGTGCCCAAGGTGGGGCTGGCCATACTTCTTGTGGTTTTCTCTTGGCACCAGCCTGTCTGCTGTGCACTGTTCACCTATCTGAGCAGTGACCATAGCTGAGGGTATAGGCAGGGAGACCTGCCTAGGGTGGGGTGGAGACAGAGGGACAGACTCCAGGAGAGGCATGGCAAGTGAGTGGAAGATGTGCTGACCAGCACTGAGAGCATGCCGGATGGATGGAGGTGGGAAAAGGGATGGCAGGAAGGATCTGTGTTAATGTGGTCTCCCTCTTGTTTCCAGGGCCCCCCTAGGAACAGGTGACATCCTTCCCCTTCTGCCCTGCTCTGCACCCCCAGCAGGGAGTGGCCTTTCTCTTCTCCATGGACTTCCAAGAGAGGGACCCTCCACCCCTGGCAGAGAGTGTTCAGTCCTCAAAGCCCAGTGGTCCCCAGCAGGTCTGAGGGGGGGACAGTTGTGGGCAGCAGGTGGGCAGGCCTCACCTGGGCCGGGGTAGGGGGCAGGTATGGTGGACTCACCAGTGCTCCCCTCCCTCTGTCCTGAACTGCAGGCCTCTGAGCTGTGGGAAGTAGTGGAGGAGCCTCGGGGCAGGCTGGGGGCAGAGGGTATCATACCTGAGAGGCAGGAAGGCCACCTGCTCAAGAAGAGAAAGTGGCCTCTGAAGGGCTGGCACAAGGTAGGGTGGGCAGGGCACAGGGAGGGGCCAGATGTGTGGGTGGGATGGGAGTGGCCGGGGAAGCTGCTGGGCAGTCCAGGGAGTCTGTGCATTGAGAAGAAGGAAAATATGTTTGTGGTTGCTCTCTCCCTCACACTCTGCTCTTGGGCCTCCTGGTTCCTGCTTGCCTTGGGCAACATCACAGAGATACTTTGTGCTGGAGGATGGGATCCTTCACTATGCAACAACTCGGCAAGATGTGAGTTGGGGCCGCAGCTTGGGGTTGTGGGGTGGGGGGTCTGGCCCCAGGGTACCCTGGGCAGGCAGGGGGGATCTGAAATCAACCCCAGCAGGGTCTGAATCCCAGGTGTGCCCTTTGTTGAGTGTGTGACAGGCAAATCACTTCCCTGTGCCATAGCTTCCTCCTTGCTCACACAGGAAGAGCACAATCACTGATGTGTAGAGCTGTTGTCATTTTAAGGGACATAATATACATAAGGCTCTCTGGGCAGTGCTTGGGGCACAGGTGCCCAAGAAGTGGGAGTTTTATCACCCTCATCGTTGTCCCATCCAGAGAGGGAACTGAAGGTCTGGACACTCATGTTCTCTCCAGGAGGGTGTTTCCATCGAAGCCTTACTGATCCCTGAGGGTGGGGATATTTTCTCTTGTTTTGTGACTCCCTGGAGTAACTACTTAGTGGAGAGCTACTTGATGTGGCTCTGTACACAGGAGGGTGATGACAAGTCCCTATGATAGTGTGCTGCCTGGCCCTTGAAGCTAAAGTGGCCTCAGGGAGAGAGATGGTGGCTCTGTGGTCCTGGAAGCCTAAAACCAGTCCCCTCTCCCCATCAAATCTCCACCCCAGATTACCAAGGGGAAGCTTCATGGATCCATTAATGTCCGGCTGTCCGTCATGTCCATCAACAAAAAGGCCCAGCGCATTGACCTCGACACTGAAGACAACATCTACCACCTCAAGGTGACATCCCTGGGAACCAGGGAGTGTTTTGGCCTCCAGCCTGGCAGAGATGCTGAGCGCATAGGGGCAGGAGCTAAGGGTCCCTGGACTTCAGGATCTGTCTCTGAGTTTGACAAGAAGGAAGCTCCCAAAATGTGAAACAGCCAAGGGCAAACATGCCCCTGTTTGTAGTATGTGAACAGGCTCAGAGTTGAGGGGTCAGATACTGGAGGATGTTGTGCTCCCCCCCCCACATTGAGCTTTGCATAGACTGGGTGCTGTTGCCTGGGGACCAGAACCCCAACTTCTTGCTCCTGGAAAACAGTTCCTTCCTTCAGGTAGCCCCTCCCTGCTCCATCACCTCTGCAGATCAAGTCCCAGGACCTGTTCCACAGCTGGGTGGCCCAGCTGCGTGCCCACCGCCTGACCACACCCCGTGGCCTGATGCCAAGCACCACTCACAGGAAGGTAAGATGGGCCCTAGGGTGGGAGCAGGTGATGAGGTGATTCAAGGAAAGGATGGTGGCTGTGGGGAACTATGAGACCCAAGGAGGTG